GAGAAGGGTTTCCGCGGACCCCGGGGCCCGATTGGTTGGGAAAAACGTTTTCGCACCCCCTCAGCCTAAAGAGGAGGCAGCTCGTGCCCTCTGGTTGTGGTTCTTGTGGGAAAAGTACTCTCTCTTCTTGGTGAGGGCGGTGGGCAAGGGCGAATAGGTTAGCACAGCCGATAAACATAGTTGCCCCCTTCCTCTTCGCCCCCGCGTATTTTTTTTACGAGTCCGCCTTCAAGGATTTTTGGTCCCCCCCCCCCCCCCCCCGCCGGTTAACCATCCTTCTTGGCGGCGGGTGCTGCGGTCGTGACACCACCCCGTGCTTTCCACGATGATGAGATGATGATGATGATGATGACGATGATGATGATGATGACATGATGATGATGATGATGATGATGACGAGCAGATCGTGGACCGAGCGGACCCCGTGGAGCAGGCGGAGTTCGTGGCGGAGGTGCGCGCGCAGAACAAGCTGTCGTCCGTGACGTTCGCCGACGACTACCCGGTGGAGTTCCACAACTGGCGGGAGTTCCCGGTGTACGGGACCAAGTACGAGGTGCGTGCGTCGGTGGCGTGATTGTTCGTGCTGGTGTTGGACCGACGACGACGATGAGGATGCTTGACGCGCGTTTTTTTGGTGTCACGTGCGGCGGCGGTGGCGTCCCAATCCCCAAAAGTACGCCTTGTCTGAGAGAGAGAGTTTATTGCATGCGGGCACGCCTCGACCACCCCCTTAGCACCCTCAGTTACATTCCTTCATGGGGGCCCCGTACCACACACACCCGTGCCCAGACGGAAGTAGTCGTGAGTGAGGGGGAAGCTCTCGTGATACCTATCTCCCGCCCCGCAGTGCCGCCCACTCGTCTTCCTCACCAGTGGTATTTTTTTTTCGCATAATAGACGCTTCGCCCGCACCCATCCATCCATCCCCCCGCCCGGTGTCGGCAGGACGTGTACATCAGCCCGAACGGGGCTTTGTTCGTCCCTCCGCTGCAGACCGTCGTTCCGGGGGGCTTGTCGGCGGTGTCCCCCTCCACGGAGGCGTACTTCCCCGTCTTGAAGGCCGACTGGAACCCTTCCGACAGCCGCGCGGCGTCCTCGGTGCTCGTGATGATCGAGGAGGACCAGTTCTCCGTCCTGTACCAGGATGTGTTCCTGTTCAAGAGGGTGAGAGGTGACGGAAGGGTGTGCATGACGCGGCATTAGGTTTTGCATCCCCGTCGTTGTTCGCCGCGTGAGTAGCGTCGCCAGTACCAATCTGTTCGGAAATATAGGGACCATCGGGACATGCACATTAGTATCTGGATGGTCCTTGTATTTCCGTACACAGAATGGTACCGCCGAAGCTGGGCAGGACGCGTGCTGCTACACTGGAACGCCACCTCCTCCTCTCTCCATGCTGCTTCTGAGAACTGCAGTAGTACCGCATCTCCCCGCCCGACGATTGATTCCGGCTTCCTGTCGAAGAAGCGAGACCCCGTGTCCCGTCGTCCACCGACCTCGCTCCATACACACGGCATTGTATCGTGGATTATATTTACCTTGCCGCGCCCGGACTCTTTTCGATGCCCGCCTTGCCCACCCCTGACCCGACGACCATCCTTTCGATCCCCCGCCGCATGGGATGGATGAAGTCTGCATCTGCAACGCCTTCGACATTTTCGACAACGGTGTTCCCGGACGGGTCGTTGCGTTACCGTTACATGCGCATCGGAGACAAAGCCGACTGGACGGCGGGGGTCAGCGGCAACTCGTTCGTCTCTCCCACCATCAGGTGAGATGACCCTTCCGAGAAGAGTCGAGGTAGATGGTCGAAAGTTAAGCGGGTCGGGTCGGCCGTTCCGCCGCCGCTTTCACCCCGGGGACCGGCGGCGAGACGCTTGCTTGTGGCCTAGCCCCTAATCGGCCTGCATTTTGTTGACCACTCCGGGGTCCCACCCGAACTGACCCCTCACTCCCACCGCCGTGTGTCCTTCTCCAGAAATCGCCACGTTCGACAGTCTCAGTTCATCCAGATGGATGAGAACGGGCTGCCGTCTGCCGCCGCCCCTTCGGAGGCGTTCTCCGCGACACCGACACCGCCGCCGTCCCCGGGCGCCCCGGCCTCCACCGCGTCCAACTCCAGCGACTCGACCAGCGGTGATGACGCCAGCGAAGTGCAGGGGGAGGGAGGGGGTTCAGCCGTGACCATAATCGCGAACGGCGATGGCGCTGAAGAAGAAGACGGCGACACCGAGGTGACGCTGTGCCGCGCGCCGACGCTGGCCTGCCTGGCGCGGGCGTGCGGCAAGGCCGGGAGCGAGGTCCCCGTCCTCTGGGAAGGGGTCGGCTGCCGGGCGGCGGCCTCCCTCAACGTGACCTTCTCGTGCCGCATCGGCGGGCTCGAGGTGCCGGCCGTCAGCCTAGAGGGGGGCGCCACCGCCTCCTCCTCTGGTTCGTTGGCGGGGGGGTTCGAGGAGGAGGCGTGGGGGCCGGATTGGGTTGGGGGGGAGGGAGGCGGGGGGTTGGTTTGCGAGGTGCCGAGGCTCGAGTGGGCGGAGGCCGGGCAGGATGAGGCGGTGATGGTGCCCGTGGAAGTGCTCTGGTCTTTGCCGGAGCAGGTACGTGTTGGCCTCGTGTCCGGGATGGCGAGAGCTCCCTTCCGGTTCTCGTTGGCCTGATGAGTCGTGTCTATCTCTTTTGGTTGTGAGTAAAGAAGACACACCAGGTCTCTCTCTCTCTCTGTGTGTGTGTGTGTCTGTGTGTGTGCTTTCTAGTAGCATCGACCGCGCTAACCGGCTGACCAATGAAAATACAAAATACAAAATGCTTCTTTTGGCCACGACCTGGGACCCTGTGGTTTGTGTGTGTGTGTTGGTCCCATCTTTTCCGGCAGTCTACTCGCCTTTCGGTGTTACCTGTGACTGTCAGCCGGGGTCACGCAAGAGGAAGGTCTTGAGGCGTGCTCTGTTAGAACCCAGCAAGAGTGTGTGTTAACGCACAGAGATCAGCGAAGCGATAAAGCAGGTAACTTTATGCTACCCCTTGTCAACCGCCAGCGTCAGCTTGGGTCGTCGCTCACAGACCCCCAACACTCTTTTAATCCTGTCTGCTCGTCGATCTCCAAAGCAGGCCAGCGATAGCGCCAAGGAGCAGGTGAGGCTCGGGGCCGCGGGCGTGGGTGTACACGGGTTGTCCGTCTTGGGCGATGCCGGCCTCATCAACAGCCACGTGTTGGCCTTTAGGTGAGTTTGTACAGGAGAACATGGGTTTTCGATTCGACCGCCCCGTGGCGCCATCTTGCTGCCGCTGCTTACGCTAGTGGTGCGGTTTGTAGTTGGCGACATGGTTCCATTGGACCGGTCGTTTTTCGTTAGCACTGGGCAGAAGTTAGCAGTCCACGGTGCACTAGGTACGAGGCGGGAGGGAGGTCTGAGTGAGCAATGTGTTCGAGCGGGCCTGTGAGTTGAGCTGAAAACCCGTTTGCGCTGTGTAGTTGGTTTACGGGATGGTTGCCCTGGACAGCAGTGGTCGTTTTTCGTTTGCCGGAAAAATCGTCGTGGAAACGGGACAACATGCAGAGGTTCTTGATGTGCATCGGTACTGGTTGTGGCGTGCGCGCTGCCCTCTCTCTTTATTCCACTTGTGGGGTTGGGGGGACTAGACGTAGATGTACGGCGCAATTCGTCTCCTGTTCATCCGTGGGTGATGTGCACTATATAGCTTAGGTTTTAGTAGTGAGCCGTGAGAGAACAACGGCAGATCGCGGAAGAAATTTTCGAGCCATGTTGACGCCATGGTGGGGACATTCAATGTGCTAAGCAGCAGCAGCAGCAGCAGCAGCAGCAGCGGCACAGTGTAGTACACCATCATTCGTGTCAAACCCGAAATCGTGCTGGACCCTTCTCCTGCCGCCGCTTGCTTGGTGTTGGTGTTGCAACCCCCCGGCGCCGTCGGTGTTGGGCTAGATCGTCGCAACACCCCAGGCTCGAGAAGCATGCGCGCTCCGTTCCACCGAAGCAAGTTCACCCCCCCACCCCACCCCAAACGCAAGGGCAAGCAGCTTCTGCTTCATCCTTGAGTTATGTAGCCTGGACCGCAAAAAAAACGGCGTATCGCTCCGTCCCGGCATGGTACCGATGTCTATGGTCTAACGATTTCGGCATTTGTTTACATGAGTACCCCCCCCACACACACACACACTCTGCTCCCGCCCCCTTTTGCCGTGCCCCGTCGCTCTTGGCGGAAAGGTATTATCGCGATGACGCAGAGGCCCCCGATTGCGGGTGCAGCACCTCCCCGCGACAAACAGAGCTCACCTGCGACTCGTGCCTGGTTTGCGGGGGCGATGGTTCCACGAAAGACTGCGGTGAGACCAGGGGAAGCGGAGGCTGCAGCAGCAGAGGGGGGGGGGTGTACTCATAGTCGTGTATGCCGTAGTCGTTAGACCATTGGCCTCGCGCATCCCTACAAAGCCGGCAGCGGAGGGGGTGGCTCTTTGTCGGCCACTGCTTGTTGATTGTTGACGACGATACCGATTCATGAAAACGACCTTCGGCGCGCGGCACTACACGCGCTAGTTTTGCAGAACCTCGGTAAAGTCACGGCGGCATGTACAGCTTTGTAAACCAACCCCGTCTTTCCCCCTGCGTATACCGGACGCCCGTATTTGCCCGAAAACAATCTAAATTAACGCCGGCGGCGTTCGCAGGCGGTTTCTGTCACGGAGAGGCCTCCGTCTCTCCTTGCGGGGAGTGCTCGGGAGGGATGACCGGCGTGACCGGCGGCCTGTGGTGCGACGAGTACGGAGAGTACCTCGATGGACCAGCCGAGGTGTGTGCGGTGTCGCGCGTGCTGCTCTTGTCTGGAGCTCGTGCCAAAACGCGTTCTCGCAGAAGAGGGGACTGGGATGTACTGTACCCCCACACTGATGTTTGGGTTCTGCGATATACGGGAAGTCCCTGTATGTTTGGTACGAAGGTCAGCAGCGCACGGCGCGGAACGAGACACGAACTTCTTCATCGAAGCCGCTATCGTCTTAGCCCGTCGAAGATGTGGGACTGGAGTTTCGGGGCGAGAGGGCGGGGGGGAAGTGTCCCTTTCTCTTCTTGTTGTACCCCCGTGTGGCTTCTTGTGTTTTGTGCTTCGAAGGATACATGTATGAGGTTCTTTGATGCGTGTCTCGTGGCTTCGTGTGTTGTGCTTCGAATGCTAGTATGAGTTTGTTTTCATGCTCGTGTTTCTTTTCTCGTGGCGTAGGTAGATCGGTCTCGTTCCATCTCCAAGGTACCAGTAGCATCTCTCTGCCTGCCTGGTCGCCCAGACAGAACATCCACAAACCTAAAATATAATGAAAGTCCCTGTATTTCCTTCTTTCCTTGTTTCTGTGTGGTAGTCCCCGGCTGAGACGTCAACGTATAACGAAAGGTATGTGGTAGACTGGCGCCAGAGTATACGGGGACGAAAGCACCCCCCACAATATGCCTCCCAGGGTGCCTGCCTTTGTCCTTGTACACGTTCCCACGAGAATTGCCAAGACCGGGGTCGTTGCGTGCTAGCTGCTTACCGTCGTTATTGCCCCTTCCACCCCCCCCCCCTCCGCGCCGCCGCAGGCGGCGCTACTCTCTCTCTCCCAGTCGATCATGATGCTGGTGGCGCTGTCCATCATGACCGCCTTCCTCACCATGTGTCTCTTCCTCGCGAGGGCCCTCATGCTCCGAGGAGTTCTGGCGATGGAAGGGTAAGTGAACACATGGGATTTGTGTTGAAGGGGGGCAGGGTGCTGTGGTGGGTGATGGCGCCGTCCTTGTTGCTCAGTCACACACACGTTGCGTGGAGATCGGCGGTTGGCTATCGTAGCGGGCTGCTTGGGTGTGTCAGCCGGAGCGATGTGAAGTACTTTCGCCAAGCGAAGCCGAAATCTCCACAAGACGAAGAAGCCAACTGCTGTCGTGATTACGTGATTCCGGGCAGGCGGGGAGAGCGCCCCCCCCCCCCCCCCCCCGCCCCTTTTCACAATTTTTTAATTGATGTCCCTTTTCCCCCCCCCCCCGGCAAAATTTTTTTGCCCCCCCCACGGAAAAAAACTTTTACCC